TCTCCACCCACAGAAGCACAAACTTCTTTTCTGATGTTGGGCATTTGCTCTTAACCAGCTGCATTTATCCAAATGTACTTGGAATCCTTTATCATTTTTCACATTGCTATAGCTTTCCAGATCATATACAACCTCAATAAACATACAGATTTATTCTTCCATCTCTCTGTACTCTTTCTGGATCATTATCTTGGAAACCTGTGCTTAATTAATAGTATGTATTTCAGTTGTCACGGCTTGTCATAACTGTGGGTTGTTTTTGAAGAAAAATATGCATAAAATTTCTTCCTTGAAGTTCATTAATGACTATTTACCCTTTAATGCCATCTATGATCCTCTTGAGAACAAAAATTAAACTTCATCATTTCTATTTCCCATCTTATCCACTTTTTTGTGTGTGTGGTTGTGTGCCCCTTACAGATAGAGGACCAGTAAAACTACCTGTTTTCTTGCACACAAATATTTCCAAAGCCTAGTAGACTTCAAAACATAGACTAAAGCAGGAGGAGGAGGAATTGAGGAATGCCAAGAGATGACTGCAACATCAAGAGACCCAGTAACGTTTCTCTGTGGATATCACTGAGCTCCAAATAAAGAACAAGATAAAGTAATGGATGGGCTTCCCTTGTGGGTCAACTGGTTAATAATCCGCCTGCAACACAGGAGACCTGGGTTTGATCCCTGGGTTGGGAAGATCCCCTGGAGAAGGGAATGGCTACCCACTCCAGTATTCTGGCCTGGAGAATTCCATGAACTATACAGTCCACAGAGTCGCCAAGAGTGGGACACGACTGAGTCACTTTCACTTTCAAAGTAATAGACAGAAGAGTGCTGGAAGGGATGCAGATCCAGCTCCCCTGGTGGTGGTCCTGGGTATACCAGTCCTCTTCCTTCCCCAGAGCCGGCAAGTCTCAGGCAAAACCCTTGCTCTAGATCTTTAAAGGACATGCTAGGAAGAAACTGGAGTCCAACCAGGTCTAAGATAAAGAGCAAAAGAGAGTCTTAGAGAGTATGAGAGCAAGAGAAAATGAGTAAGAAGAGGACAGAGCACAAGAGAGAGAGATGCGGAGAGAGTCTTTTAAAAGGATGAATCACTCTTCCAACCAAGCTACACATACACACGTCATCAAAACACTTTGCAAGTCCCTCACCCTGGAAGTCCAAGCTTCCGCAAGCTGATTCACTACCTAAGCCCTAAATCTGCTTAACCTAGTTCTAAAGGGGATTACTTTTAGCCTCAGTCACTCTTAGATTAGTATTTCCTTTATACTTGCAGTGGCCGCCTGTCTCGTCCACCCAAGGTGATTAATGGACCAACGTCACATTTATGATGTCAAGTTTGTGACATCAGCTTCATGAAGCCAGGTTTAACAAAAAAAAAATGCAAAGCCTGAATAAAATAGATTATTGCTTCAGGATTTTCATCCAGATTCAAACAACTGAAACAATTCCTTCGTTCCTAGACCAGGTCATAGAAACATAAAGAAATCACAAGATATTAAAATACAGCAGCTGTTTGCCCACCCTCAGCCACAAGTAATCTTGAGGAGCAAGTATTATGCTTGCAGATCTTTGTGGAATGTAAGAAATTTTTGACTAATGATTTATGAGTGAACACAACTGGTATATCACATTTGATCTCCATAATGGCCCAGTAAGAAAAATGAACATAATTTTATACATAAGCAAACTGAAGTTCAGAGGAGGTAAGTGATACCCAGCAAGAACCAAAAATTATAACTCAGGCCTCCTTACTCATAGTTTAGTGTTTGCCTGAAAGTATGTATGGGCAAAATGTTGGCTCCTTCAAGACTTAGGACAAAGAAATATATCTCCTTACAATCAATAGTATCAAAAGCCCTCCACAAAAGTATGCTTAAATTTACATTCGCCCACAGAAAGCATAGTCACCTTATTAAAAAATCAAGATTGCTTGGACTTTTCTCCTCCCAAGTTAAACGAAAGACAATAATCAAGAATTAGAGGACTTCCCCGGAGACACACCTGCCAATGCAGGAGACACGGATTGACCCCTGGTATGGGAAGATTCCACACGCCTCAGAGCAATCAACTACTGAAACTCACACCCCTACAGCCTGTGCTCCAAAACAAGGAGTAGCCCCCACTCACCACAACTAAACAAAGCCCACGAGCAGCAGGAAAGACCCAGTGCATCCAAAACTAACTAAATAAAAAAAATAAACAGTTCAGTCGTGTCTGACTCTGCGACCCCATGGACTGCAGCACACCAGGCTTCCTTGTCCATCGCCAATTCTGGAGTTTACTCAGACTCATGTCCATTGAGTCGGTGATGCCATCTAACCATCTCATCCTCTGTTATCCCCTTCTCCTCCCGCCTTCAATCTTTCCCAGCATCAGGGTCTTTTCAAATGAATCAGTTCTTCGCATCAGGTGGCCAAAGTATTGGAGTTTCAGCTTCAGCATCAGTCCTTCCAATGAATATTCAGGACTGATTTCCTTTAGGATGGACTGGTTGGATCTCCTTGCAGTCCAAGGGACTCTCAAGAGTCTTCTCCAACACCACAGTTCAA